CAAACCAAAGTATAACTATAACAATAAAAGAAACTTACAAAATAAAAGAGATATATATTTTAACAGTACAGCTACACAATTATATTTTTATAAAATTTCTTACATTTCTATTTTTATCATAACCATATAAAAGCATAATTTATATTATCCAATATTATTTCATGAATTATAGCACTTCAATGTATGGAAAAATATAGATGTGTTTGCCTCTGTAAATGACACTATAATTTCCGAGATAGGTGAGAGTATAAAATTCATCAACTCCTAAAGACGTGATTTCATAGCAAATGGCTAGAAATTGTACTTATAACTTTCAATGGAAGAAGCCACATCCTACAGTTCATGCCAACCATGCAATCGAAGTGATAGACTTCCCCCTACTTCTATCTTCATACATGCCACAATGTAAGGCTTTTCTTATATTACTCCTTAGGATCTTCTCTATTTAACTACAATCCTTAAATATATAAATTATACTTTCCTTTCTATCATGATTATTCGATATAAAAAATGTGAAATATGCAAATCGATGTAATTGTTAGATTTCAGTAATGTTGGTTCATTGATATTAACATCACAACCATAAAATTCTGCATAATACAGTCAATTTATGTTGTTAGAATCTTAAACCATTATCTTCAACACATCATTTCATTATTCTAACTTTCCATGTATTTCAATAGAGATCTCACTTGTCAGAATGTCAAACAATATACTCCAAGGCAATCCACTTCCAAAGTAATTTTATAAGTATCCCATAAACAATAGAAAATCTTGTAGGCCTATGTTGATGTATAAATGTAAGCCTACTGAGACTGCGGAATTGTTTAGGCTATTGATTTTGTTAAAATCAGTTCTGAAATCGTTTTATGAAATTGTACTATGGTTAAAGTTGATAAAGTTCCTTGGAATGGCCAGCCATCAATGTCTTTTTTCTAAATTAAAAGATAAATTGTTGTCTGATAAGACTGTCATTCCACCATTATATTTAATTTAATGGCTTAAATGTAATTATTATTAGTGATCATAAAAAAATAAATCTCATGAAATTATATTTCCTTATTATCACAGTTTAAATTGCACTACTAAGCTTACAAGCTTCCAACATCTGCAGGAAAATGGAGTTAACGAATTGTTTAAACACTTGCAAATGGTTCAAAAAAAATTTATTTAGGAGGCCAAAAGGCACTAAACGAAGCATCAAATTATTGATTACAAAAAGGAATGATTTAAGAAAAACATGAACTTCAATTGAAAAACTATCTCTACTAACGATTTTGAAAAGAAAAAAAAAATCTGATTTTGAGACATAAAGGGCATGGATAGGTTTTAAAGCAATAGCAAGCCTCAGAGAAGAACTAGAAATATCATTCACACGAATAGGGCTGTAAACGAGCCGAGCTTGAGCGAGCTCATGCTTGGATCGTGTTCGGCTCGTTCGAAATAGCTCATGTTCTAATTCGGCTTGTGTTTGAAATTGGCTCTTGAACAGTGTATTCGTGTTAATTCGGCTCGTGTTTGAAATTGGCTCTTGAACAGTGTATTCGTGTTCGGCTCGTGTTCGGCTGGAAATTGGCTCGTTAAAATTAAATTGAAAAAAATATATGTAAAGTGTGAGATTCGAACCTGGATCAAATATACACAAAATAAGGGATTAACCACATTACCACATGAGATGTTATGATTTAAACTTAGATTTAAATATATATAATATATTATTATATAAATAATTATACAATTTTTTTTTTATTTCGAGCTAAAATGATCCGAACACGAGCGAACAAAGAATTGTTCATGTTCGGCTCGTTTATAATTCGAGCTTTAAAAACTTGTTCGTGTTCGGGCCTTTTTCTTAACGAACGAGCCAAACACGAGATGTTTGCGGAAAACGAGCTTTTTTTACAGTCCTACCCTCAGCTCATCCAACGAAGCCCAATGGGAAATGATGAAACAATAGTGGAAAATACTAAGAACATATTATGTATATGATCACCAAGATGCATTTGCAGAAATAGTTTTTTCAGAGAAAAGGTGGGCTCAAAAATATCATGAATCTTGATGGAAACAAAAAAAATAAAATCACATGGTAGAAAAGAAAGACACCATCGAATTTATGAATTAAGATTTCCAAACATCAAATATAAAAATTTACACACAATCACCAAAGCTGCCACAGTGAATAATGCCAATGATTCAAGCCAGAGTGGCAGCAAGGGCATTGATATACTTATACTTTCGTACTTTTACTATAGAGAAAAATATATAAAAACTGCTTATTTAAAATAACAGGCCATGATTTCATAAAGGAACGCTCTATCTTAGGTCACAAAAATTGTATTGTGGTGCAAAATTATTAAAATAAGCATGACAAAAATTGTCATACAAACAAATACTTTTAAAAAGCAACGATTAGTAAAGCTAAGCAACCAAAAAGCTGCCCTAAACACATCCTAAAAAATCTTTTGTCACTCTAAATTACTTCCAACATTTAATACTAAAAATGCTAAATCATAAAATGTAGTATTGTACAAGGCAAGAAAGCAAGCAAACAGAGTAAGAATTGATATGGATTTCCTTAAGTTCTATTTAACTTACAGTCATGATCCAATAAAAAAGCAAAAAAAGCAGAAGATTTTTTATGTGGAAATTTTAAAAAGAGGAAAATCATGATTCATTGTCCAAACAAATAATTTTCACTACTTTATAATGAAGTAAAAGACGTGACTCATTCCTAATTATTCTTTTAGGGAATAAATATAATATTGTAAAATGAGCTTCCAAAGCTTTTAAGAAAGCACTCATGGTTGCAACATTGAGTTGCAACAAGTGTTGTTGTTGGCAAATATATATAAAGAAGAATAATCATTGTTGACTGAGAGGGCAAGGGTTGCAAAGTGACTGAATGAACCAACAAAGCAAGGTTGGAGGTGATGACAGCAATTAGAGAACTTGATATAGTTGTTGTTAACTTCGAGAAAGATGATCACTGATAGGAGATGAGTATCATCATCCAATCTTTTCAGGTGGCAACAAGAGGCATGATACTCATCATCACATATGTTGCATCCAATAGTACTAGCCTGGCAAGCAAATCAAAACTTAGCAACAATCATATTATTGGAGATGAGGAATTATCCATAAAATTGTAGAGAAAAACTTATAAAATGAGTTGAAAAGGTGCCCGACTTACAAACTTAATGAGGTAAATGTAGATACTTTTGTAGTTATCATCAACAATAATGGAAATTATATCCTCCGGTGATAAAATAATGATACGATGATGTTATCATTGAGCTAATCCAGCCAAATTGAACCCAAGCAAACCTGAGTAGCTAATAGTAGGCTGACAACAACAATCCAGCATCAATATCTTCAATAAACTACCGTGATTATACCATGTGGCAGATAGGATCCCAAAAGCATGTATATAGTTACAGATCAATTATTTTATGATTGACTGAACATAAGAAAATTCATGAAGTTTCCACACCTTAAATGGTGCCTCCAAAATTCAAAGACAAGGGTTATTGATTTGAGTTAATCAGTCATATTCAAGCTTGGTCCAAAGTTGAATCGACACAAATATGCTTGACTCAAACCCAACATAACCCAAATCCAACCAATCCATCCCATTTATTGAATAGATCATGCACTTTTTTGGATCAACATGACCAAATTAGCATGAATATGGCCTACTTAATCCAACTAATTGGACCAAACCCACCTAACCCAAACCAAAATATCAATCAAACCAATTGTGGGCTGATTTTGAGTTATTTAGGTCAACTTGATCCTGATTTGAATAATAATTAAATCTATAATTTAAACCTAAACCTTACATGAAATTGAAACAACTCGTTATATTTTTTATTTCAAGTTCGAGTATGGTTGTCAAATCATTGAAACAACTCGTTAAATTTTTTATTTCAAGTTCGAGTATGGTTGTCAAATCACAAAATTTATTGATACCCATATTAAAGACAATGTGATGCCATATGGTAGGTGGATCAACTCCTCTCCTCAATAAGGTAATATAACAATTAACAAATCACAAACTAATGGAGCACCAAAGGCATAATTGTTTTAAAAAGCTTGGATTTCCCACAATGAATTCCATGATAACAAGCACACGTAGAGATGACAAGAAGCCATTGACATACAGCATAACAAAGGGCAAGCCTTAAGGGTTTCCTGGCAGCAGTGACACAAAGAGGCAATTTAGGGGCTTCCTAACAATAGCAACAAAGACATTGCCACTAGGCATAATCTAACCACATACAGACAAAGACCAAAATTAAGAAAAAAACTGACTTGATCACATCAGGCCAATCTGGCCCTAGCTATAAAAATTTATCTTCAATAAAAAACTAGAATGTATTAGTGCCTTTCAGCATTCAATCTGGGCAAGTCAAGAGCCCATCAGCATGACGTGCTGCATCTGATACTGTTAACAGGTTGACACGCTTTTTTTTTAGCTTGTTTGATCTCAAATTTGACTTAAGTCAAATCAAGCATTAATTGATCTATTTGAACTATAAATATGTATGTTTGGCATAAAATCATAATTTAGTTGATAGGGCTATTATGCTCACAACAAAATGATCAAGTAATCAAAATATGATTAAATAAAGTTGGTTACTAACCAAAACAATTAAAATATTACGATCCCATTTAAGGTCCTAAATCTATTATTACCCTTCCGTAGTTAACCAACAAGACAGAGCTACAACACAACAGAGCGTTCAGAAGGCGACTACATAACTCAGTTTGGATTCCTTCATACACCGTGAGCGACCCAAAACATCATTCATTGTCTCGATCCCCTAGATGCATTTCATTTTTATTATTAAAAGGTGAAGAACAAATAAAATGTCGTAAAAATTACTGGCTAGACTAACAATCACAAAATAACGTATTTACCATATCAGATTTCTTCAATAAATAGATCTAAAGCAAAACCCTAAGGAAATAAAAATTGAGAAACGGGGTGGGCCTCAAACCGTTTATGCGCTTGAGCAAAGGGAGAATTCTTGAAATCCTCCTCTGCAATCAAAAGGTGGGGAGAGATAATTAGATCTAAGACAGAACAAGTAACACTGAGATCTCAACTGGTGCCATGAACCGTTATTTACCGGTGAAGCCGGCAGTCATCTTGATGATAATCGCGCCGGTAATGGCAAAGCCTGTGAGGAAAGGCCAGTTCCTGTTCCATTCCCTGCGGAAGAATATCGGCCATGGATCGAACTTCCTCATCTCCCTCTCCCTCTGCGGCGATATCCCTTCTCTATTCGGGAATAATAAATAAAGTAAAATAGCTTGGATCATGACCCAAATACCTCGCGAGGCATTGACCTTAAAAGAACAACATAAGCTAAAGTACGCCAGTCCGATCCATCTTCTTCGGTTCATCCAATGGTGTTGCCGGCCCGATCATATTGATAATGGGCCGCACATCCAATCGAATGGATCATTTTTGTTCAATTGATCAATAGGCCGCTTGCATTAATCCTCCTTCATAGTTTGGTCCCACACCCCCACCCAATCGATGATCTTCAATCCACTCGATTGATTAACCGCCACCAGTCTGATCGTATCGATCAACCAGACTTTGTCGTTCGTTTACACACCACGACCCAATCGACCATCTTTGGTCCACTCGGTCGATCATCCTCCATCGACCGAATTGTATCGATTGATCGCCACCGCCCCAATTGCATTGATCGAACATCCTTCGTTGTTTGACCGGACACCCTGGCTCAATCGACCATCTTCGGTTCTTTCGATTGATCGACCCCCACCAACATAATAGTATCGATCGGCCATCTTTTGAGGATCGGGCACACCCCTCGACTCAATCAACCATCTTCGGTCAAATTGATCGATTGATCGTCATCGCCCGATCATATGGATTGATCATCCTTCATTGATCGATCACACACCCCAACTCAATTGACCATATTCAGTCCACTCGATCTATTGGTCGCTACCGGCCAGATTGCATCGATCTACCATCCTTTGTCGTTCGGTAGCACATCCTAACTCGATCCAACATCTTCGATCTACTTGATCGATCGGGCGCCACCGACCTGATCGTTTCAACTAACCACTCACTATCGATCAACTGCCCATGCTAGCTCGATTGATCACCTCGATTGGCTCCACTAATCAACTGTCACTGGTCCGATCAACCGGTCAGCCCTTTTTCATTTGAGATTTTGCATTTATTTCACATTGCCTACATTAGCTCATCCACATTTGCACGCTGTCGTGCATTTGCGGGCGTACACCCTCATATGCTTGTGATGAGCATTTGTGCCTCCCAACGACATATTACTCTATATATTTGCTTTGCGGCATTCTTATGTTGCTTTACATCACATAACAGGAGGTTCGCATTTACACTTTCCCCTTTTACATGCTTGCTAGCATGGCATCTTGTGTGTCCATAACCTACGTGCTTGAATTTATTTATGCTTGGACTTGCATCTTTGCTCACATACCTCACCCATTCACACGTCATGTGAGTGGATGGCCTGCCACAAAGTACATTCGTTGTAGTTCCCTCCAAAAAGAACTACATTAGCTTACCCTCTATGGTGCATTTACACTTTCCACTTTTACATGCTTGCTAGCATGGCATCTTGTGTGTTCATAACCTGCATGCTTGAATTTATTTATGCTTGGACTTGCATCTTCGCTCACATACCTCACCCATTCACACGTCATGTGAGTGGATGGCCTGCCACAAAGTACATTCGTTGTAGTTCCCTCCAAAAAGAACTACATTAGCTTACCCTCTATGGTACCACTTCGGACTACCGTAGGCACCTTTTCGAGTCACTGCTCCTCGCACACTCACTCTCGATACTCATGTGTCTTCCTCGAGCTACTACTCCTCGCACCCTCTTTCCTACGGCACATCTTCGGGCCGTCGTATGCATCTTCCTCAAATTACTGCTTTTGTATACTCATTGTAGATGCCATGTGTCTTCTTCGACAATGGCTTGCACATCATGTCTACTCGATGTGTGTTTCTTTTTAGCAAGAAAATACACCACCGCACTCTCGTTGTGTATCTTGCATGTGCATTATTTCTTTTTTATGACACCACTTACACGTACCATAGGAATGTCACATCATATCACTTGGCACGGATCATGCTTCAAAGGCCTCTAAATCCTCCAAGTATGTCATGTGTGTTCACTTAGGTACATGGCGACCACTTAGTATGTATCTTGCTCCATTGGTCTCTGAATCCATTTAGTGTGCAAGTCATGTCACTCATGGCATCACTTCGGTGTGTCATATGTGTGGCATGTGTCTTTAAGTTTTGCAATTGCATTTCTGCACTAGTGGCACATTCGTTGTGGGTATACATTTCTGGCACACCTTAAAATTACCTATTTTTTATGTGAATTTCATGATATTTGGTTTTAATGAAAGGTATTGTGTGTTTTTTTTATTTCACCTGCAAGAAATGAAGTTTAAGGAAAAAAGGAGTAAAAATAGAGCGAAAATAGGTCAAATGAAGCCAAAGGCACAAAAGGTGACCTAACATTTAGGCACCAGAACATTCCAAAAGGTCGACGCTTAGGTGGGACAGTTGGGCGCCTAAGCGCCATAAACATTTTCTCCAACATTAAATGAAAAATCTATATTACTTGAAACGATACATATATAGAACATTCCAAAAGGTCGACACTTAGGTGGGACAGTTGGGCGCCTAGGCGCCGTAAACATTTTCTCCAACATTCAATGAAAAATCTATATTACTTGAAACGATACATATACTTGTATAGTACCCCTAGTTTGTAAACTATTAATCTATTTAATTACACATTTATTTTGCACGCTAGCCGCACAATATAAATTGGGTCAACATTTTGGCCATCTTTTTGAACTTAAATAATTACGTAATTGCAGGTCGGGTCAAATTTTTGGCGCCGTTGTCAGGGACTTAACAAAATTTCATATTTAGAAATTTTTATTTTTATTTCGATGTAGATTTGTTTTAGGAGAGTTGTATTTTATTTTCTTTTTTTTGTATTTGTTTATTTTCTAAAAATATAAAAACATAAAAAATCAAAAATAAAAAATGATAAAAAAATTGAAAAATAAAAACCATTAAAAATATTTTTATTTTAAGTGTTTTGCTTTACTTTTAATTTATAAAATTTTAATTGTCCATGCGTAGTTCGGGATATGGAGGTTTAGTGCCCTACAATTCTAAGTTAGAACAAACCATTAGAAAAATTTAAAAACGAAAAGAGCTTCATAATTCTCAAAAAATGACCAACACATCACAAAATCACTTAAATAACCAAACTATTGAAAATCAACATCATGATTTACAAAGATCTTTAAGGGACTATGCATACCATACATCAGATGAAAATGACTCAAATATGCAAACCTCTACTGTAGCGGCTAACTCATTTGAACTTAAACATTTTATTATACAAATGTTACAAAATAATCAGTTTGGGGAACACCATCTGAGAATCTAAACTTACACCTAGCAAGTTTTTTAGAACTGTGTGTTACATTTAAATATGTTAGTATATCAATTCTTGTTGTTAGACTTAAACTTTTTCCTTTTTCCTTAAGGGATAAAGCTAAGATGTGGTTAAATTCATTAGCACCCAGATATATTAGAACTTGCAGGGGGGGTTTAGTAGAAAAAATTCTTGGCTAAGTATGTTCCACCTTTAAAAACCGCTAAGCTTATAAATGATATTACTTCTTTTACTCAATCTGAAGGTGAGTCAATATACGAAGCATGTGAACGATTTAAAGAACTCCTTAAAAAGTTTTCACATCATGACTTGCCAAATTGGTTAATTATTTAGACATTTTATAATGAGTTAACAGGACCTCTTAGATCTATTATTGATGTTATTGCTAGAGGCTCATTAATGTCAAAATCATTTAATGAAGCTTGTACATTAATTGAAGAGATGACTACAAATAATTTTCAATGGCCCTATGAAAGGGTAACTCTTAAGAAAGTAGTTAGTGTTCATGATAATGATGCAATTTCTATACTGACATCTGGTCCACTTTTAAATTACTTATTTTTTATGCACATTTTATACCCATTTTTAAGGAAATTATGTTTTAATGAAATGTATTTTATGTGTTTTTTATTACAGGTGCAAGAAAAAGAGTTTAAGAGTGAAAATGAGCAAAAATACATTAAAAAGGAGGAAAATGGGCCAAACCAAAGAAAATTATCAAAATTAGTTGAACTGGCAACCAGGCGCTATATGAAGATCGCGACTGGCACCTAGGCATGACAGCTTTGGAGCATAGGCGTGACAGTTTTGGCGCCTAGAGGTGACAGTTTTGGTGCCTAGGCGCAAGAGTCGATTTCTAATAGATGCGTTGAATGAGGCTAAATTTTGAAGAGATGTCTGAAGCAACCTATGGTGAATTTTGAAGCTCTATATATATGGATTAATTCTAAACGTCAAGGGGGAGTTCTAGAGTCATTTTAAGAAATGGAAGCACCCATCTAGAGTGGGCGCCCTCCTTAGTGAGGTGGTGTGAGTCTTTGTGATTTCTGGAGTATTGTGAGTCTTGTAAGAGTCTTGTGGAGTCAGAGAAGTCAAGGAACTTCAAAGGAGTACTTAAGGAAACATTTCGCATAAGTATTTGTATATTTTTCTTTATGTATTATACTTTGGATTTGAGTTTTATTAATATGTTTTTTGTTATCCCCATCTGTTCAGAGTAGTTTCTTCTTTCTCCTTGCACTAAGAAGTAATGAAGTGGAGGTTTTGATTTGCTTCAAATTTCATTTTATTCCACGAAGTGATGGTATTTTCACTAGTTCTTCATTTACTTTACAAACCGATTATTTGTTTTATTAAAATTTATTGAGAAACTTACAGTCCTGAGAGGGCTATGAATTCTTCAACTAGTGAGTACCACACTTCACTTCAGAAAAAAAAAAACCATGACGATCGCCTGAGGAGAAGTGAAAATAGATAGGGAGATAAGATTTGATGACGTTGAATTGATATTTCTAGTGTGACAGGCAAGATTATTTTATCAATTTGGTCTGTAGATTGGAACTAAGGGTTAGTGGTAGGTCCTATAGAGAGGGCACCGTTGGTAATCTAAAGGTGAGAGGCTAAAACTTATCCAACACTAGTATACATGTTGACACCAACTTTAGATTAGGCAATGTTCTTTATGCTCGGAAGAGGTAAAACATAGGATTGCTCCTATTTGTCACAATATATCATTTAAAAGTTCTAAACATTTGCAATCCTACACTGATTATGAATTATTTACAAGGAAAAAGTCTCTTTAAATATCTTGAATTTTCTAATTTTGGTTATTATCAAATCTCTACATTTG